TGACCCGAGACCTCAGTAGTTTTTGCTGTGTATACGCTAGCACGGTGGCACGAGTTAGCGGTCCCGTCGCCCGACAAGCAGTGTAGGGTGGCCTCTAAATGTCTGTAACATGCAATATTAGTGCCTTCTTTTACACGAAATGAAAGAAATCCTCTTTTATGCACACACAGAACAGAGTTTCCTAACATTCAGTTCTAATGGAATTCTTAAACTCGCTCTGCGCTTTCCTGACGCTTCACAGACAAGAGCTTCCTTTCAAAACGATAAGTATTCTCTGATACATTAACATATCTCTGATACATTATTTGAACTCGCGAACGTAGGAAAAGCAGTCCGGTACTCTAACAGTTACATCATCCAGCCAGCACCACCGAACAGCAAGAATGCATAATAGTGAGATTATGAGTGGAGCTTTTGAAATTAAACTATAAATTTGTTAGGTAAGATCTAGTTGTCTCGTTCCGGGCATCATTTATGCATTGTTTTTCTTTTGGACAGTACTTTACCTGAAACCCCGGTGACATTTAAAAATTTTCTGGAAAACTGATGAAATACTTTTCTTTAAATTGATTATTCTAATAGAAATACATTTGCAAGTATGGTATAATTTTTATTTTCACGTACGTACAAATAGGAGGTGAATAGAGGTTAGGCGTGAGGATTGGCCCGTTGCTTTGGGTACTGCTCCGGCATTCGCCAGGTGTTGATCGGAGAAACCACGGAAAACTACCGATCACACCAGTCGGCCGCTAGAATTATCATCCCGTCAGCGACTGAATTCGACCTAGCTGTGTCGAAAATCCTGCCACATACGGGACTCAAACCCTAAGACCTCCCAGATACAAGCACTGCAGTAACATCAGTTGATGTCCTGAGTCACTTTATCCAGTTATAAAATGGTCAATAATAAGACATTAAATTATGGAAAAATAATGTTGATTGTGAGTAAATATACATCTTTTATCTCATTTTCAACGAGCATCCTTCCTGCGATAAATTTAAAGATACGCCCCATCTTTGGAATTCATTTTTTCAACCATATTGTATCTTTTGGCATGGATGTTTTCACTTCATTCAATTGTAGATCGTTAAACGACGTCGTGCATTCCTTCAAAAACCGAAGTCTTTGTTTAGTAACAACACTAAGGAGAAGAAGTTTCGGTATGACGCGTATTCTCTCTAGCTTTTATCGAACCCACACTCACCTCTCTGCTCAAATTCCTATCTCCTGCAGCTGCTCACATTCTTTTTCTTTCTTCTTCCACCCCCTCCCCTACTCCCAATCCGTCTTGCTCAATCGCCTGCGCTGGGCTGCCATCTTCCCATTTATCTCCCTCCGCCCCCCCCTTATTTACCACCTTCGCTCTGATTTTTCACCCTTGAACCCTCCATATCTCACGTCCTCCCCCTCGAGCGCAAGCCACTTTCTAAGGCTGGCGCTTCATCTCGCAACCGACGCCGGAAAGACGCCAAACGACGCTGAAAGAAATGGTGAAAGAGAACGAAATCAAAATAATTTCTCTACTACTTCTCCCGTGGCATCAAGTAAGAAGTACGAACATCGACTGAAAGAATTAAAGGGACGAATGAAGATACTTCTCTCGCTCCCGCTTAAGGTGGAAAAGGCAACAAAGTGCACGAGGGGATAAAAAAATACTAGTAGAATGGGGAGGAAACAGGACATTTCTTCTTCTGCTACCAAGGCGGTAAAGGCGAGGAACAGCGTTGGAAGAAATGGAGAAAGAGAGCGGAGTCAAAATGAGATCTCTTCTCCTTCTCTCATGGAATCGAGAAAGAACGACGAAAGGCGACTGAAAGAAATGAATATAGAGGAGGGAGCAATAAAGATATTTTTCACTCCTGCTAAAGGTGGGAAAGTCAGCAAAGAGTGCTGAAAAGGACAAAAAATACTTCTAGAATGGAGGCAAAACATATCCGTTCTCTTTCTGCTACTAAAGCAGCAAAGACGACGAACAGCGCTGTAAGAAATAGAGAGAAAAAGCGGAGACAAAAGTAGATCCCTTTTCCCAATTTGCTAAAAGACGAGAAAGGCAACGACCAGCGCGAGAAGAGATTGGGAAAGAGAATGAATACAAGCGGACGTCTTCTCTCCGACACCCGCCAAAGGCACAAATGTGCAGAGCGGCGCTGGCAGAAGAGAGCGGAGTCAAACGGAAACTCTCTTCCTCGCCTCTCTCGCCCCAGGCGCGAGTTAAACCGCTCGCAGTCGCCTGTCTACATCCTTTGTGCTTGCGGTGACAAACGCGAGAGCGATCGAACGCTTGAATAGCTAATCACTACCTCCCATCCAGCGGCTTCGACGCGCAGTCCAATAATATGAAACGAGACGCCCAAACACAGTCACATTTCCGAAACCTCGGCGCTGTGCGCCTCCATCCGAGGTTCTCTTCAGATAAAATTTCGTCCGGGGTTGGGGGATTGGATGGGCGCGGGCCCGCGCAACTGCGTTAGCGATCTCCCTTGACGCCGCTGTACGTCCCGATCGATTCGCGCGCCAGTCGAGGCGGCTGACGGGCCCCGATTCGGACGCGCGGCTATTTCCGCCGGAAGCTGCCCTCGTAGGAAATTGGGGCCTGGGGCGGGGGGGGGGGGATTGGGCTGAGCGGAGTGGACTGACCTGCGGGTCGAGCGACTGGCAGCAAATGCCCCGTTCGTTTGCTGCGTATGAGTTAATGGGATGAAAGGGCGAGAGACTCCAACTGCGGGCATTTATCGAAAACGAAATGATATTCATCCACTTTGTGAACGAAACCAGAATGCAAAATGCTAACTGGATGCTACTCATATTTGCCATATCCTCTATCATTATTATAATGTAGTTTTGAAATTGCTTATTACTATATCGGATTAACGTTTCAAAGGGATATCAATTAACACTGCGGATTTATATCTTCTATCAGCTTTGATATCTCACAAATTCAATATAGCCTGTGAATTCCGAATGAAGGGTTTTTACATCGAATTATCTGATAGAGGCAAGAAGAGATAATCAATATAATTTCCAGTTTCTCAAAACATACATTCAAAGCATTCACCTGTTTTTAGCATTTTTTCTTTTAAATCTTTCGTTTGACATTCGATAATCTTAATTTATTTTAAATTATCAATATTATTGACCTACACATGTCTTACACTTCTGAATTTAAATTTATGCTCTACCATCGAACACGTCATGTTCCGAGGCATTTTATTGCATGCAATAGCATATCTAGGATCTGATTTTATATCATTTAGAACTTTTAGCTGGAGAAATAAGGATTTTAATCTAGCACCAAAAAACTAGAATGCAGGTTGAATTCTGATTGTTAGTCGTAAATGTTCTTCCCTCTGAAATTTCCCCGATCCAGAGAGCAAGGAAAGCACCGCCCCTAGTAGCTGAGCGGCTGTGCTGCAGCCGGCAAATTTCCCTTCGTTAGAGTCCGGTATTCAGTACGTCTCCAGTCACTGTCAAATTACGTGGTTAGAAGGGAGAGGGGTCTTAATGCTTATAATCTTCCAACGGAAGGGGCATAATACAATTTACTCCGCATCTTCGTCGTGAAATGTTCGAATGAAATCCCCCAACAGGAGATGGTTTTCTCCTATCCTCCCCCATTTATTTCCGCCCGTTTATGATTAGTTATTACCTATTTTACTGAAAAAACGTCACTGTTGCGGGAATTAAAAGTGAAAAGAATCTGTATCATTTGTAAGAAATTACGATATGATGTATTATTAGTATTACTGCAGTTCAACACTTTTTTACCTTTCATATAATTTACGCTTGGCTTAAGTAGCATGGCGAAAGCAAAGAAATTGAAGCATTCTCGAAGACGCGAATCGATCAGAGTAACCTAATGGGAGCGTCTACCTTCGATATATCACTTGACAAGGAGCTAAGGATTAATTCGTAGTATAATTGAATAAAAATTGAGTATAATATGAAATATAGAAAGTAGCATCTACTTACCATCTGACAGAAATCAAAACATTAAATCGTTTGTTGATTATCACTTATTGTATGACAACTGAATATAATAATGAATATACGAGTACAAGGGTGCTCTTTAAATACTTTTAGTTGGCTTGATGAAGCATTTAAAATCAAACGTAAAAGCTACGAGTATATTAACGAGTATCTTATATTAATGAATTTAAAGAAGCTTAATTATGCGCCATATGTCTCTCCATGTGCTCTAAATGCATTTCTGGGCCTTTTCCCGCTTTACCACCATGTATGACCCAGAAATCCGTTTACATTTGTGGAATGGAATGAGAGGACCCGACCAGCAGCACTAAAGGATCCTGTTTCCTGTTCAGACCAAAACGTCATGCATTCGTACAATATTTCTCAGTCCTAAACGTAAACGCGCTGCAGGCGCGTGAGGAGCCTTGTACAAGGTTTGTGCTCCTTTCGTAAACGTGAAGGGGATATTGTGTGAGCATGTATGAGGGAGAGGGAAATCGCGATTAAAAGATGTCGCATATTTTATGGCCACAAAGGAAATTATAGATATTCGTATAGTCGATTTCCTTTAATTATTAAAAAAGTAAGCTCAGATTAATTATTAAATCATGAAAACGTGTATTTAAAAAATATGAATCCCATCAGCGACTTGCATAACTATATGGAATGTACTTTGAACAAAAGTACTTGGTAAACGTATGACAACAGTGATTCATAATTACTATATACATTTTTACACGTTATATCTACGTATTGGTTCAACAAAATGTTGTTTCAATTGACTACTGCAATAAAAAAAGGACTGCTATAAGCATTCTCTTGGTGCTTTATCGAGGTTCATTACGTAAATTAACTGTTCAAAATTGAAAGAATCAAACCACAAAAACACTAATAATGCAGCCCAGGTTCAGGCGATTTCTCCCGTAACTACCCCTTAGCGAAGCCATCGTAGGACGAGGCGCCGCCCCCATCCGCCCCCGCTCGCGCGCTCGCTCGCGCGTTGGGCAGTCGCGCAGGCGCTAGAGCCGCTCACCCCGTTGACCTCGAGCAGGTCGTCCACCTCGAGGAAGCGGTAGACGGTGTGGCGGTACTCGTCCATCTGCGCCTTCTTGAGCTTGGCGCGGTCGTAGTCCTCCAGCTGGATGGCCTGGCGCTTCTCCAGCTCGTACTTGGAGAGGCGCTCGCCCGCCGTGCGCAGGTCCTCCATGGCCAGCTTCAGCTTGCGCGCGTACTCGAAGCGCTCGCCTGCAACGCGTTTTCATTTTTAGTTATTCATTTCGCTTTGCTCGCGAATAGGACAGCTTGAACCGCGCGTGCACGCACGCTGCGTTTACCGGGGCTCACTCACATTATCTCGGGGGCTGTTGCATATAATAATTTTAGCATTTAGCGAAATCAGATTTTATCCGCCAGGGGTATTTGTATGGGGGTATGGGAGATGAAATGATGGTGATAGTGAGGGGTGAAAGGACAACACACACATACAGAGACAGACACAAAATTCCCATGCCCGCAATCTTCTGGTCCAAAACCGCTACGACTCTATTGCCCTAGCGTCTCATCAGCTTCAGTTATTAATTACTATTTTTATTTTACTGGATTTTTCTGCCCCTAATTTATTATTATATGATCATTAATATTAAGATTGCTTTCCCAAAATTTGCAATATTGTTTGTACAATCGTAATTATTTATTTTCATTGTCTTTTGTTTGAAGATCCTATTAATATCGTGTGATAATAAACACTATTAAATGGAGGAGAAGTGATGACTAATTTTATTTCAATACATACGACATACACTTATTTTCAATTCCTTCAATCAAAGAAAGGATCTCAAAATGCGCTTGGTGGAAAGCAGAGTTCAGGAATAATTGCAATAATTTTGTGAAGAAATGAAATACGTTTCGGATCTTCAAATAATTCGAACAGATTTCCTTTCCCGAGGGTGCATTAGCAGGCGGAGTGCTGACTAACTTTGTGTGGCGCACTGCTGTATTCAAAATATCCGTTAAATACGAGTCGGAAAAAACATTACTCAAAAAATGCTTATTTAATTAATGACAATATGTATGTCATTGGACTCCTCTTTTTACGCTCCTCATGATAGGCTATAACACAATGTACAGTTCCATTTGAAAAAAACAACAAACGTACCTCATTATTTCAAAAAAGACAAATGATAAACTAGAAATGAGCACATACATCAGTTAGTCCCATTCCCTGGTGCACATCCGTAAAAACCGCATTGCAATAACTTCAACTGTTCAAAAACTGCAGGGAGTGCTTAAGTTGCGTGAGTCACTCTGTCTATAGTGCTTCCTCTCAATGTAACTGCGATTCTTTTAAAGTCTAATGATTACAAAATTATATTTTATTCCGAATAGCTTTCTTCAGGGTGGCTTTCAAAATTTTGTCAGAGTTAAAGTTCCATTTTCGAACAATAATGATCCAGATATAATACCGATATCCAAATATACTTTAATTAAAAATGATTGGTATAGATTTCTAGTGTGTTTCCTCCCAAGCGAAGACACTCACCGATGACGGCCTGCTGCTTCTTGAGCTCCATGGTGCGGATGATGCGCGCCACCTCCTGGTCCACGTACATCTCGAAGGCCAGGTCGTCGTAGGGCGACGTGTACTGCGGGTTGTTGACGAGCAGGAGGGCGTTGTTGTTGTTGTTTCCGTTGCTGGCGGCCGGCTCCCCGTTGTTGTTGGGCTCGGGGCCCGCGCCCATGCCCACGCCCACGCCCACGCCCCCGCCCGCGCTGCCGGAGCGCGAGGGCCCCAGCTGCTGGCCCAGCACGTTGATGGCAATCAGCCCCACCTGCCACACGGTGCCAGCACCATTCAACGAAGGATCACAATGACACAGTGTGGGTTTATATCAGGGTGCGTCTGTATGTGTGGGTGAGAGAGTACGTCTGAGTTACACTGTGCCTGTCTATGTGCTGTAGTGGCGTGGTGTGTGTGTGTTCGTTCGTGTGTGTGTGTTCTTGTGTGTGTGTGTGTGTGTTCGTTCATGTGTTCGTTCGTGTGTGTGTGTTCGTTCGTTCGTGTGTGTTCGTTCGTTCGTGTGTGTGTGTTCGTTCGTTCGTGTGTGTGTGTTCGTGTGTGTGTTCGTTCGTGTGTGTGTTCGTTCGTTCGTGTGGGTTCGTTCGCGTGTGTGTGTTCGTTCGTGTGTGTGAGTGTGTGTTCGTTCGTGTGTGTTCATGCGTGTGTGTGCGCGCGCACATGTGTGCTGCGACATCGTCACGCACCCCTCAATGTATCAGGAAATTTTGAGGCCCTGAAAGAGGACGTCACAGGTCTCCCGCATTCTTATACATCCCGATTAGATCTCCCCTCCCTCGGTCTGACATCTGGATAGACGCCTTACTGCAAGCCCCAATAGGTCTCCCTCTAATCAATGGTAGGACTTCTTACAGTTAGGAGATACAAGATCCGACGATGGTTCGGTGAAGGGATGTACTAAGCACTGCGAGGTCGGGACAAGTCTTTATTCATTTTTCCCTGAGTGAGAGGCCCCTGCTAGAAAGTGAGAGTTTCGGCCAAATTCTAGCTTGTTACTTCTTTAAACACATTGTTGTTTTCATTCTTCAACTTATTTTCACACATTCAATCGTAATTTGTTTTTCGAATTCAGTCATTTTTGAAAACCCAACGCTGAAACTGCATTGGCGAAAACACTGAGTTATTATTATTATTATTATTATTATTATTATTATTATTATTATTATTATTAATTTCATTGATTTTGGAAGGGAAAAACAGCTTAGAAACCAGCAAGAAAAAGATAAAAACGTGTTACAAAATTTTAGGATTATTGCAGTAATAACAAATTGTACTACTACGTTCAGATCTGTAAACCAATGCAAATTAGAGGAGTTTCTTATGTTCAGGACAGTTGTAAAACGTCCTTTAATGAATAAATAAATGAAATCTTAGACCTGCCAGGTTTAATATATTCTATAAAATATTTTTCAAACTACATGTCATAATACCAGCTTTGTTTGCTCAGCTGAATTAATTATCACGATCTGATCGTATGTCAAAACACTCGCATATTCAATTCATTTTTTTCTTTTTTCTGATCTTACTGCACAGAGCAAACACCAATATCTTTTAAGTGTCGTTCCAGATGACAATTCTATCGCAATTATGGATCAGTATATATTTACTAGTGAAATGTGTCGTCATCGCCGCAGTTAACTGTTTTAAAAATAGATTAATGTGTTTAAAATCTCTTTCATACTTCATTTCTTTCATTCCCAGCTTTGTTTAAATATGTTCTTTCAGTACGTGGAATTACATTTATCAGTGAATCGTAGTAGCTCTTAATGTGTCACGTTCAAAAGTTTTCAACACTAAATGACCTTGTATCTTACCTCCATACGGATATAAACTGGTCTTACTGCAATTTCAAATTTTTAATCGCCGTAACAAATACTTCCAGATTTTGATGCTAATACTTCAATTTTAGAACAGCTACGTTTTTACGTTTTTTGCTATTATGCACAAAAATGTACATTGTATATTTACAAAAGCAGAAATGCTAAATGCAAAAATTCAGACCGGTTTCAATTATTTTCGAAAAGTCTATCGCAACATCTTTTACAACTACATTTGATTCTTCCCCGGATTACCTTAAAACTTCCATATTTTTCTGCCCTAATTTATGAAGAGATTAAAACTTCACAAACTCAGTCTAATATGTGTTCACTGCTAGTTCTACAATTACTCTATTAAATGTTTTGTATGCGAGTCTAGCGTTGCATGTGGATCTAACATTAAAAGGCAACTGTTTTGTATATTTATGTGAATAAGATGTTATTTAAGTTTAATAAGAATATGTTGTAGAACACATTCATTTGAAAATCAGTATTTTCACACAAGAAAGCAAGAAACGCAAGAAAAGTGCGATATTCTTCAAGTTTAATAAGTTCCAAGACAATACTGTTCGTAGGTTTTCTCGTTTTTTAAATATTCAAATAAATTATTCAGAAAAATTAAAAATTGAAATCTAAACTGATATCAGACTACAGGAGATTTACTTGGTAATACAATTGTTCACTCAAAGATGTCATCAGTATTGTCAACGCCGTGAAAGAAAGTTATGGCTTATTAAGTTAAAAATGTATTTGGGTACTGATGTTCAATCAACGACTTCTACATAGATCCATTTAGGAAGTGTTGGTTTAATTCCCGGCATTATCACTAAGATTGCAGGGCCAAAACTCGAAAAAAACACGTTTTCGGAAATGTATTCGAATCTTCTAGCCGGATTCAGAAACAAATTACCAGTTCCCCATCAGGAGACCGAGACGCGTCGAATGACAGGTCATACGTCTTGATTGGTGCACGGGAAGTGTTCTAGCCGCATGTGACTGAATCGCACACATCCACACACCTGCGCATATGCTTACTCAAGAGTTGTACTCGAATTCTATATAGGAATTAGAAAACAATCGTTTTATTCCTTCAAAATATTAGAAACCCACCAATATGTCATTCATAACTAACTGAAAATTGCCTCAAAATCATATATATTTGTAAAATGTAAGAGATGATCTCAGTTCAAGATATACAGTCTTTTTTACGATGTTGCTGCTACTACAGCCTACAACAGCCGTACCGTGATGCACATCTGTTAAGAGGGTTGCATACTCGTTCCGCGCTAATCAAGCTGCTCTCATAACATAATTGCTGTTTGCGTAAAGCTGCGCCGCGGCCGAAGCAACATACCGTGGGGTGGGGCAGAACAAGGCAAAGGTGGGCAGGACAAGGCAGGGCAAGACAAGGCAAGACGAGTCAAGGCAAGGCGAAACTGGAAAAGGCTAGACAGTGCCGGGCAGGACAAGACGAGAGTAGACAAGGTAAGGTAAGGCAAGTGAAGGTAAGATAAGACAGGGCAGGGCAAGGTGGGACTGGGCATGCAATGCAAGGGTACTGTAGGGTAAGATAGCCGGGATGAAGTGAAGGGGAAGGGCGTGGCGGGGCGGGACAGCTGCCCCGAGGGAAGAACTTCCCATCTTTCCCCTCCGGAGACGGTAACCTCCCGACCGACGGGAAAAGCAGCGGGTGGACCTCTGGAGGCAGACTCGCCGTCGAGATGTGAGGCATTATAATCTGAGAAGCCCGCACCAGTGGGAGGCAGAGCAGTGTTGCGCAGATAGTTGAGGGAGTTCTGCCGCGTCCAGCAGCGGCTGGGACGTAAGGCAGGACGTGCGAAGTTAGAGCCGGCGAGTGCTGTACAGGGGAAGCAGCGCTTGTCAAAACGTCTGCAGGCCGCCGGACATACAGCAGAGATATGTTTCAGGACGGGCGACCGCCGGTGAGGAGGCAGTGTGTCTACCACACAGGAGCGGGGAGGCTCAAAATACGCATTTGAAGTCGGGTCAATGTTTTAGACCTGGGTATTATTTGAGTTTATAAAAGTTACGACTGTTTTGTTTTCAACCCTGGCCTACTGAATGTGAGTTTCCCGCTCCTGGTGAGCTTGATTGACGTAACAAACTTTATTAACGTACATCAACTTCACGATTAACAAGGAAATCAGCGAAAGGAACGCAGTTATAGCACCAGCGACGATGATAAATCATAGATGCAATACATTTCAATTGAAAAATTAATTTTTATTTATTTTTATTACGGTGAATATGTGAACAATATATTTAATATTAAATACATAATTATGTCAACAAAGGTAATATTACTGGAACACGAACATTTTCAAACAGAAAACTCAGCGAGGAGTACATTGATACATCACCTTGTTTAAGGCAAAAAGTTTTGCACTTAAAGCTTCTAAATTTGATCTATATTTGATATAAAATTTCATCTGCAGGTGCTGAAAATGAGTTTACAGGCCATAATTCGTTCATAAAGATCCACTTAATACTACGTGCTCAACAAGGCTTTTCATAGTCTATAAATCCCATTAACCTCGGTCGAGATTAAATCAGTTGATTCACCCGATGTCGCAAAAGGTCTAACGAGCGGCTGTCCATAGCATCACGACGGGATTAAGAGGTCCTGATTTCCGAGTTACTAGTTCGCTGTTCATTTGACAGCACTCGTGATATCACCCAGCAGTATTGTATGGACCACAGAATGCGTGCTGGAAACGCGCATTAGAATTCAAAGACCATTACATGAGATGTCTCACATTCTTAAGGAGTCGACGTTGGAATGAACCTATTCGAATGCACACTGCCTTTGTAGTTCCCCACAAATTGCTCATTTTCTATCTTAACATTGTTCTTAAATTCTTAGTATTATCTTAACTTATAAGTTTGCTTTTCCCTGCTCTTGTTAAGGAATATAAATTCTTACATCCTTTTCCGAATTTTGTTTTGCTCACAAATTTCATTTTTTAAATTGTACATTCATCTAGACAAATGTTTGCCTCCCTATAATATCGAGAAAAGTTAAATTTCCAATAGATCATTTTGGCTCTCAATGTTATGATTATTTTCTTTTCATATTTCGTATTTTAATTCGATTAGGGAAAAGTATTCATCAAATTAATTCGTTAGCATGAGATCTTTAAACGACGTTAAAAAACTAAAGGACGTTTCCCAAGTGAAAGGTTTCCGAGAATGAAAATATGTTTTCCTTTTACTTCACATCTAAAAACAATAGCAGCATATAAAAATTCTTTCATTTTATACTAATAATAACCATTTTCGAAAATTAAGCTATCGCTCAAAACGTTTTTGAATCCAACTTCACTATTTCACGAGATTGTCTGCCGATTTCGCATGTGTTGCAATCATGACCGATGTAATCAACATCCTTTCTGCCTCAAGAAAACTTTGCCCTTCT